AAATTTTTTATACATAAAAAATTACAAAGAAAGATAAAGGAAGTAGCCATGTGTCTATCACTTCTCTTTAACACTTGTTTTAATATTCCTCTAACTGTGATCTCTTTTAAGATCTATTTTGTTTTTAAATGTTCCTTCATTTTATGAGTGGTTTTATGAGTGGTTCTGTGGTCAGAATATTGAACTAGAGGAAAATGTTTCTGTGTTTTGGGAAACTAGGATTATGGATTTTGTCACATCAGCATGAATGTATAGTCTTTTGGGAGTGCTCCAGCTGCAGACTTGAGTTTGATAAGATTAATCAGCTTTGTTTCCCCGCATAGGTTTTATGATGGTCAATTGCCTGTAATAGCCATCACAGATCCAGGCATGATCAAGACAGTACTGGTGAAAGAATGTTACTCCAACTTTACAAACAGGAGGGTAGGTATCCATTTTTTCATTAAGTATTTTATTCATTTATTTACATTCTAAATTTGAAATAATTATAGATTCCCCAGAAGTTTGAAAAACAGCAACAACAACAAGAAACCAAACATAAACAGGAAGGTCTCAGGAACCGTTCATCCAGTTTTCCCCAATGTTAACAGATTGTCTTACTACAGTATGGTATCAAACCAGTAAATTGACACTGATACAATTCACGAAGCTTATTTGGATTTCATCAGTTTTAAGTGCACTCACTTACATGTGGGTTTGTGTGTGTGTGTGTGTGTGTGTGTGTGCAGCTCTTTTCAACTTTATCTCATGTGTAGATTTGTGTAACCACTAGCACGAGCAAGATACAGAACTGCTCCCTCACCAAGAGACATCCTCTTGCTATTCTTTTACACTGAGTTTGTCTTTTGGGGTTATCCTATATGGGGTTCATTCAGCTTCTTGGATGATCAGCTTTACATCTTTCATGATATTAGGGAAGTTTTCTGTCAGGAATTCTTCAACGATCCTCTCTGTGCTTTCCATTTTCTCCCCCTGTTCTGAAACTCCAATCACTCATGAAGTTTTGCTTTTAATTGTATCCCACATAATTCTCAGGGTTTCTTCATTTTTCTTCGTTCTTTTCCCTGCTTTTTCCTCAAAGTGGCATCCAAGGATTTGTTTTCAATTTCGTTGATCCTGTTTTTCATTGTTTCAAACGTGTTCCTCAGATCTTTTATGACACTGTCCATTTCCAAAATCTTATCTTTTGGATTTCTAATTGCTGTTTTTGTATGATTTCTAGTTGTGAATTTATTTTGACATTTTGTTCCTGTATTATTTTCTTGAATTCTTCCATTGTTTTGTCTGTCTTTTCCATGATTTTGTCTGCCTTTTGCATGATTTTGTCTATTTTTTCTTCATTTTTGTCTGCTTTTTGCTTCAACTCTTGGATAGCTCTGAATATTAGAG